ATTTCAATCACAAAAATTTAGGTCATAAAGTTTGAAAAAAAAATCTGAATAATCATTATATATTTTGTATCTTCAAATAAATGAATAATATGTTTATATAGGATGGTGATAAGCAACTCTAACAAGACTCCTAACTAAATAAGGAAATAAAATCCTAACTATTGACTAATTATAAAATAAGAAAGTAAAATTTAATTAAATTAAAACTTCCAAAATCAACTAAACTCTTAATTAAAATAGAAAACTACTTGAATTCTTGATATGAAAGCCCAAATAAAGAAGAGGAAACAAAATTAAATCCTAATTTAACACTATTTTCCTTACATCAAAGTATGCCTCAATAATTGAGGTTTTTTTTCTTTTTTTTTTTATGGTGATCGGGAGTGTTCGGGCCAGCTTACAGGTATCTTAACTAATTCTCTGGGGCCTTGAAGTTGACAACCAAGTAAATCTCCTCAATGGTCACTCCTATTAGCAACCCAGGTGAATCGAACTCAAGATCTCTTGAGTAATATACCGAAGAGTTTTAGTTGACTGCTGAGTCATTCAGAGTTTTTTCCTCGAACCGTTTGATCGACATATTTTACGTGAACCCCACATGGGGGTGGTTAATGATTTTTAGGTGGAATATTTTTTATCCATTGATCTACAAATCTTCACCTCTTGTCTCCTATTTCCTATCTCTAGTCTACAACTCAAAAACTTCCCATTGGAGAAATACAAGAAAAGAATCTATAAAGAATCCAACAAAAAAATTTCCTTTTCAATTTTACCAAAGTGAATTAGTTGTACTTGTATCTCTTTTTAGGATTAACCGAGTTGTTTTGTGAAGAAAGCCAAAAAAGGTCCAATTTTTTTCCTCTTAACTCCCCGAGGCAAGAATCATGACGCGAGATAAATTTTCTAGAACCATACTATACTTACTAACCATCTTACTATCCTTTGTAAATATAACGCATAGTACTGGTACTATATGCATAGTACGGGTACCATGTAAAATTTTAACAAAGGTTGTATGGCAGTTAGTACAAGTGGTGAGTAAGCATAGTGTTTTTCAATTTTCTATAGGAAAAAGAAAATGAAGCCTGTACCCGGCCATTCATATTTATATTCAGGAATAATTTATTTGTCAACTTGGTTAGGAAGTAATATTAAAGGCAAACTCTGTAAGAAAGCACAGAAATGGAAATCTGGGCAACAAGGAAACAGAGGAGCAATATCGATGGAGAAGAAGGATCTGAAATGAATCCCTAAAAGGTGTACTATTCATTAATGAAAAGGTAGAATATATATAGCCAGCAGTATAACCGCCTAACAACTTACTCTAATATCCTTATGACATCTGTAAAATGTAAATACAAATGAAATGAAAAGAATACAAATTGAAATGCAAATGAAATACAATCAGATAAATATATCTGCATATTTAGGTGTTGGCTAAACTACAAGTCGTTTGTCCAGTGTCTTCTAACACCCTCCCGCAAGATGGAGAGTAGAGATTGACTACTCCCATCTTGGAGAGATGTGAGTACAGTAGATAAGAAGGCAAAGCTTTAGTAAAAATATCAGCCAACTGATTATTAGAAGACACATGAGTAGTAGATACAATCCCAGCTTGAATTTGATCCCAAATAAGATGACAATCAAGCTCGATATGCTTGGTCCGTTCGTGAAACACGAGGTTGGCAGCAATGTGAAGAGTGGCTTGATTATCACAATGTAATAGAGCAGCTTGAGTATGCGAGATGCCAAGATCTTGAAGTAAATACCGAAGCCAAAGTAATGCAGAACAAGTAGTAGCCATAGATCGGTATTCCGCTTCAGCGGAAGATCTGGAAACCACATTTTGTTTCTTGGAAATCCAAGAAACCAATGAAGTACCAAGGAATATGCAATACCCCGTGGTTGACCGATGAGAATCTGGGCAAGAAGCCCAATCTGAGTCACAATATGCACGAAGTTGAAAAATGGATGAAGAGGACAGCAAAATCCCTTGTCCAGGGGCTGCTTTAATGTATCTTAAGACCTTGTAAGCTGCTACCAAATGACTGGAGGAGGGTTTATCCATGAACTGACTCAACAATTGTATAGCAAAAGAGAGGTCTGGCCGAGAGAGAGTCAAGTATATCAGCCGACCAATCAATCTCCTATAAGTACATGGGTCTTGGAGTGGCACGCCCTCTGTTTTGCTGAGTTTAAAGTTTTGATCAAGTGGAAGTTTAAGGGGGGTACAGCCAAGCATGCCAGAATCTGTCAAAATATCTAAGGCATACTTCCTTTGAGAAATGTGAATGCCTTTGGATGATCAAGCAATCTCTAAACCAAGAAAGTAGCAAAGACAGCCAAGGTCCTTAATCTTGAACTTATGGTTAAGGAAAATTCCAAGTGAATCAATAGAAGATTGAGAATCACTGGCAAGTAATATATCATCTACATAGACTAATAAGGCAATAAAGTAAGAACCATCTTGCTTCGTGAATAAGCTATAATCGGCTTTTGAGTGGATAAACCCATATTCAAGAAGAAAGGAGGTAAGCTTGAAATTCCATTGTCTTGATGCTTGTTTAAGGCCATAAAGGCTCTTAAGCAATTTACAAACTTGGTGTGGCTGCCTCTTAGTGTACCAAAGTGGTTTTTTTCATGTAAATCTCTTCTTGTAAATCTCCATTAAGAAGGCATTATTCACATCAAAATGATGCAAATGCCATCCTTTGATGGCAGCAATAGCAAGGAGACCTCTCACAGTGACAAGTTTAGCAACATGAGAGAAGGTCTCATGAAAGTCTATGCCCTCTTTTTGGGTGTATCCTTTGGCTACTAATCTAGCCTTAAGTCTTTCAACATTACCATTAGACTTAAATTTAATCTTGTAAACACACTTACAATCAATAGCTTCTTTTCCAGGAGGTAATTCAGTGAGTGTCCAGGTCTGGTTATTTTCTAGTGCTTCAATCTCAGCTTCCATAGCCTTACACCAACTAGGATCCTTCAAGGCTTATCTATAAGAGTAGGGTTCGGTTTGGACAGAAATGGAAGTAGTGAAAGCTCGAAAAATGGGACTGAATTTATGATAAGATAAGCAACTATTTAATGGAAAAGACTTACCACTAACAGCAGATGCAATCTTTGAAATGGATTGAGCAGGAGGCGCAAGCATGGTTTGAGAGCAGTGATAGTCCTTAAGGTACTGTGGAGCTGTTCGAAGTCTGGTGGACCTCCTGAGAGCAGGTGGGGGATGATTTGGAGGGGTGGGTGAAGGTGGGGAAGGAGGAGGGAAAGGTGGGGAAGGGATTGTAGTGTGGGATGGTGGAGATTCTGCAGGATATAGAGGGGAAGCTGGGGAAAGTGGGGCTGTGGGAGGAGGGTCAGAAATGGGTGTAAAATAAAAAGGTGAACATGATTATGAAGAAGAGGAAGATGAGTGTTGTGATGTTTGGTGGAAAAGAAAAATTGACTCATGAGAAATAACATCTCTTGAAATGAAAATGGTGTGTGTTGAGAGATCCAATAATTTGTATCCTTTTGCACCAAAAGGATAGCCTAGAAAAACACACCTACGGCCCCTAGGATCAAATTTTGTTCTAGCATGTAAGAGAGTGGCTGCAAAGCATAAAGAGCCAAAAACCTTCATGTGGGCATATTGTGGTTTCTTATTAAAAAGGATCTCAAAAGGAGTCTTATTTTGTAAAATGGGGGTGTGAAGCCGATTTATGATGTAGCTGGCTGTAAGGATGCAGTCACTCCAATATGTAAGAGGCAAATTGGATTGGAATCTCAATGCTCTAGCCACATTTAGTAAGTGTTGGTGCTTCCTCTCAACAATGCCATTTTGTTGAGGGGTTTGCACACAACTCTTATGATGAATTATGCCTTTTTCATTGAAAAAATGGGTCATGCAAAACTCAGCACCATTGTCACTTCTTAAGATTTTAATTTTGAGTCCAAATTGTGTTTCCACCAAATTGTAGAAGGAAGTAATGCAGGTTTTAGTTTCAGCTTTGGAATTGAGTAAGTAAACCTAAGTGGATCTAGAGAAATCATCCACTATGGTTAAGAAATAACGTGATCTATCATATGCAATAGTGGAATGAGGTCCCCATAGGTCACAATGGATTAATTCAAAAATCCTAGAAGAAGAGTGCTCACTATGTGGAAAAGATAATCTATGGAACTTGGCAAGTGGACAAACAACACAAGGATTTTCATTAATAGTAAGAACATGCTTGCTTATAATTGGATCAGAGATCATTCTTAACCTAGAAATGGATAAATGGCCTAGGTGAAAATGCCATAGGTCAGATTGATTAACATTGTGAACCATAGAGGTGTGTGCAGTAAAAGGTGTATAAAATGAAAGGGATTGAGTAAGGGCTGAAGGAGAGACGTTTGAACAGATGAAGTGGTATAAACCATGCTTGAGCTCACCCTTCCCAATCGTTTTCCAAGATGGCAGGTCCTGTATAAAGTAGTATTTAGAAAAAAAAATATCAAGCAAGAAGTTAGGGTGTGAGTCAACTTGGTGGCAGAAATTAAATTGAAAGAGGAGGATGGGACACATAGAACATCCCTTAAAATAATGGTATTGGTCAATTGAACATGACCAATATGTGTGACAGGAGCTAAACTCCCATTAGGAAGCTTAACGGAGTAAGCAACAGCGGAAGAAACGGTGTTAAGAAAAGAAGTGCTACAGACCATATGGTCTGTAGCATCGGTGTCTAAAATCCAATTTGAAGAACAGTGAGGTGAGGTGCTCTGTGTATGTGAAAAAAAGCAAGAAGATATACTAGACATATTTGAAGGATGAACAAAAGCTACTATTGAAGAGTCCTTTGGTTGGAGCAAGGACAGTAGCTGCTGGTATTGATGCTTGGTCAAACCAACCCTGTCATCACTAGAATCATCTACATCAGGAATAATAGAATATGAAGCTTGATTGGCAATTATAACAGAATGGGGCTACTGCTTGGCATGTAACTTATGGCCCGGGGGATAGTCGTTCAATTTGTAGCATTTCTCAACGGAATGTCCAGTGAGGTTACAGTGGAGCAGACTGGAGCAACAACATTGCCAAGCTTAAAGCAGGTTTCCATCGAGTGGCCAGAAATCTTGCAATGAGTGCAATATGGCCGATCCTTCTTGGGGTTAGGGTTTTGTTTGGGTGAGTATTTGGATGAAGGGAATGGTTTCTTAACAGCAAGGGCCATGGTCTCTGAAGAGGGAATAACAGAGGTTAATTGAGTATGGCATTCTTGTTGCTAGATAAGGGAAAACACCTTGGTAACAGGTGGAAGGGGATCCATCAACATAATTTGGTCTCTAATGGGAAAATATGATTCATTACGTCCCATCAGAAACTGAAGAACACAATCCCTTTGATAACGATCCATAAGAGTTTTTAAAGTACCACAAGTGCATGAAGGAAATGGATCGTAAATAGACAGTTCATCCCACACTGATTTCAACTTACCAAAATAAATACTTACAGAATCACGTTCTTGAAGAAGATTGGCTAAATCCCTCTTCAACTGAAAGATGCAGTAACCGTTTTGTTGGGAAAAACGATCGTACAAGTCTTGCCAAAGCTCCTTAGCATCATTGACGAAGGCCACAGAAGATTTGAGGGAAGGGCTAATGGAGTTTTGGATCCAGGAAACAATCAGATCATTGCACCTCTCCCATAGATCAAATAATGGATCTGTAGGAGAGGTAGGTTTCAGCAAGGTACCCAAAATGAAGCCGAGTTTATTCTTGGCCCTAAGAGCACGGCGCATGGCTCTATACCATGTAGCATAATTATCAGAGGTGAGAAGATTAGGAACGAGTGTAATGGTTGGATTATCACCGTGATCAAGGCGAAAAGGGTTAGAGGGATCGGTGAAATTGAGGTACGAGAGATGGGTATTGGAGTTTAGGTGAGATTTAGGATTCTGAACTATGGGCGAATTAGGAACGAAAGGGATGGTGGAGCGGGGTGAGTTGGGTGGGGTTTCTGCGTTTGCCATCGGGGTTGCTCTTCAGTTGCTCTGATACCATGTAAGAAAGCACAAAAATGGAAATCTGGGCAACAAGGAAACAGAGGAGCAATATCGATGGAGAATAAGGATCTGAAATGAATCCCCAAAAGGTGTACTGTTCATTAATGAAAAGGTAAAATATATACAGCCAACAGTATAACCGCCTAACAACTTACTCTAATATCCTTACGACATCTGTAAAATGTAAATACAAATGAAGTGAAAAGAATACAAATTGAAATGCAAATGAAATACAATCAGATACATATATCAGCATATTTTGGTGTTGGCTAAACTACAAGTCGTTTGTCCAGTGTCTTCTAACAAACTCTATTGGATTACTAAAATAAAAAACTGGAAAACTTACTAACAAAAATCTTTTGGAGTCAACTTATAGAACCGAAAATATTATCTTAAATTATAAAGTAGTAAAAATCTATTAACAGTATGTATAAATACACCCGAAAGCGTGAGAGCTTTCAAACACGAATACTTGCTATGGTTGAATTTCTTCACGCGTGAGAGAGGTTTTCGGAATTTTCAATTTTATGTGATATGCGATAGGAAGGGTAAGAGAAAAGGATTTTAGGAATGTTGATGAGAAAAACATCACTAAGTGAAGTTATATTAAGTTAATTTTGGAGAAATTGTTATTACTTCTTTTAACCATTCATAATTAAAAGTTTGGACTGTGTTTGTTTGAGTATTTATAATAGTATTTTTGAAAAAGTTGAATTGAATTGAATTGAGTTGTTTTTACAAGAATATATTTGAATTTGAAAATGTATTTAGTAAATTTTTTGGAAAACATTTAAATTATTTTTAACCTCCTACATTTATTAATTTAGTTAAACACCCATACAATAAAGTTTATAAATTAATAAAAACACATTTATTCACCCAATACTTGCTTGTAGTTGGCCATCACAATCAGACAATGATCAATAATCGTCAGAATGATGCACAATCAATTAGATCTGACCGATCATACGTCGATCTAATCATCGTATACCATCAATGATGACTAAAATATGGCCGTCAACAATTATAGATCTGGCCGTTTATCGGATCTGCGATAGGAACGCTGGAGCGGTAAGAGAAAAAAGAGAGACAAAGCTGATAGGATTGAGGAGACAAACTTCAATAATTGAAGTCAAATTAGTTTTTTTATTTTTATTTTTTTAACTATTCATAATCAAACGTTTGATAAGGATCTCTTCCACTACATATGAGAGGTAAGAAGCTGGGTCCACGACTTAGTTAGTGACAATGAATGTATGTGTACTGATTTCAGATTGTAATTAGTGGTGCCTCGTTTGTTGAGCTTTTTCTGGATCCATTGGATGACATTGTTTCCCTGGATTCTACTCAATCCTATCATCTTTGTCTCTCTTCAAGGTTGAATCAGAAAGATCTTTATTCCTTTTGACTAGTAAAGAAAAAAGTCTGCTTCAATATTCTCAAAACTGCCAAAAATATAACCAAAGTCAACATAATATAATTTCGATCGTGTAGTTGAAGTTTTTCTCCTCAAACATCTACCTCCCAACAAGCTACTTATGGTGTGTTTCTTGATGTCCTCTCTCCTCATTCTCTAACTCGAGAAGAATTAAGCTATAACTAGATTGAAGAGAGATTGAAAGCTCTCACACTTTTAAGTATATATATTTAAAAAATGTTAAAAAAATTACTAATTCGTTGTGATATATATAATATTTTTTATGTTTTTATAAACTTTGAATTTAGAAGAGTTTCCCATTACATTATTTTTCAAGATTTTGTTTAATAAACCAAATTGCTCTCAATGTTGCATTTTGGTAATGTTGTGTTGGTATTTGAAATAGGGTGAGCCAAGTCCATGGGTGTAGTAAAATGGTTGGATATTGGCGTGCTTGTTTTTCCAAAACTAGAGATTTCAAATCAAAATCGACTTAAAAATCTGAGCCCGATCTCAAGGAAAAGATCCAGTTTTTAATACCCAGATCGCTCTTAGCCGGGCTTTCAACTTGAGTTTGATTGGTTGAAAATTTTGTGGCTCTATTTGTTTAGTTTTTTAAAATAGATTTTTGAAAAATAGGGTGAGATCCTGAAAATATTTTTGGTACATTTTCAAAAAATATTTTTTGAAAATATTTAGCTTATTTTTAACCACATAGGTTTGTTAATTTAACTAAACACTTCTCCATAATAAAAGTTTATAAATTGACAAAAATACTTTCACTCACCCAAATATTGTCGAAAACTGGCCACCACTACCAAACGGTGCACGATCGGCTATATATGGTCGGTCGTGAGTCGATTTGATATTTTTTGGCCAGATCCACTGTGGAGCTAGCTAGAAACAGTCAGATCTTCGGCTACAGATATGGTCGTCGTTGACGGCCAAATAATGACCATATATTTGGCGGTCAACGATGGCCAAAATATGACCGTCATCAACGACCTGGGCAGATCTATGATGGATCTGACTGGAAATAGATAGATCGATGCACGACCAGCTAGATCCAGTCGATCGTGGGTCGTTACAGCTTCGACAGCCGGTGGTGGTAACGGCAGCGATTGACGACGATAGTGGTTGTTGGCAGGTGATAATAGCTTGGGTGGGTGAAGGTGTTTTTGTTAATTTTAAAACTTTTATTGAGAAAAATAATTGTTAATGTTTTGAGTTGAATAAAATATGATTGGATTTTGAAAAATATTAAAACAGATGCATTTTTCATTTTTTAGGTCAGGATAGTAAAATAGGATAGTGTAAAATTAGTATGCCAAACGTAGGGAAAGATCTTTTTGAGATTTTTCTTTCGGATTGGGGGCTAGAAAAAGATTTATTTGGGGATTATTTAATATTTTATAAGGTAGTTGTAGGTAGTTTTTACAGAGGGTTTTTTGAAATTTTAATTTATAAAAGGTGTCATGTAGTTTTTAGAGGGTTAAAGCTATTTTCTGAAGGTTATAGTAAAAGGAAGAGATTTTTAGTTCCCATCTTCAAGTTTAAGTCAATTAATAATTGTCCCAATAGATTAGGACCAAGGAAGGAGAATGTGATTACGATAACCCTATTCCATTCTTCCTAAAACAAGGCAAAGCTATCGTGTAAAACGTGGACCAAAAGAAATTGTAAACTACATAAATTATTATATATAACTTCACTCAATACAATGCTCATTACATATTTTTTCTTTTTAATATATAGCACAAATAATTGTTTTTTTTTTTTAACAAAATCCTTTTTTATAAAAAAATTCAATACAAAAAGAAAAAATATAATATAAAACATATCAATTTAGTTTAAAATTATCCCATCATCCTAAAACAATTCAATTTATATGTTTGAATTTACATAAGAAGTTTGTGCATATAATTTTATTAATAATAGATAAATAATACTAAATATACTAACTCACACATACAACTTAAAGTGCATTAAAAAGATTTGATAACTTAAATTATAATTTACATATAAAATTTGTATATATAATATTTTTCATACATAACTCTCATATCCCATTACTATTTCAACAACCTTGTCTATTTCCATCTTAACATCGAGTTAGTTGACGCACCAATCACACATTTAGAAATAGTTTCAAAAACCTCCAACAAGATCACATGCTTAAATTAGGAGTCGAGGGATTTGAGAGACTTTATACCTCAATCACACATTGTCTTGTCACTTTTTGTCCTACCACTTAAACTACCTAGTGTGAGTTAAAAAAAAGAAAAAAAAAAAAAAAAAAGCAAAATCCATCTTATAAGGGTTATGAGATAAAGTTTGTGAGAAGAAGTTGTAATCGTAATATTTTTTATTTAGAAATAGTTTTTATTTTTAACTAGAAAAGTAAGTCTAGCTATCATATCCTCGTCCAATAAATTTTTATTAAATTATCTCGTTGATCACTGAAGAAAACCTTGAAAACTAATTAGAAAAGTCTTCGATTATATGAAACAAATACGCATATAAAATTTGATTTAAAAAAAAAAAGGTTTTTCTATGAATTTATATTATTTATGTGAAATCACAACAAGGTGGTCTAATGGTAACAGAGCAAGAGATTTTATAAGCTCCTGAGTTCAAGCCCCTATAACCCTAATAGGGGTGGCCACTGATAGACTTACCCGATCGCCAAATTTAGAGTTCGAAAAATTAGTTGAGGTATCCATAAACTAGTCTATATACCTCAATCATTATATATATATATCAATCATGTCACATCTCATTAATATTTCAACAGCTGTATCAATTTCCAACACAACAACGAGTTGGTTGCCACACCCCACTTCATTAAAAAGGAAAAACCCATCTAACTACCTTTCATCATTTTTCATTTCATGCTCTTGATTCTAATACTTGTATTAAGATAAGGATCATTTTCAGCAAAGATGGAGGGTAAGAAACTGGGTCCACGACCTAGCTAGAGACAATGAATGTGTACGTTGATTTCAATTGTAATTAATGGTGCCTCCTATATTGAACTTTTTTTGTATCCATGGATCTCTACTTCAGATTGAATCAAAAAGATCTTGATCCCTTTTGATTGTAAATAGTAAAGAAAAAGAGGGGGAGAGAGAGACAGAGAGCACCTTTTGATTTTCATCTTGATGCTTTTTGTTAACCAAGTTGAACGACTCAAAAAAGTTCCGCACTCCCTCCTTCCTACTCTTAATTGTTTTGCTCATTTTCAGAATAATCTTCTTTCAATTACGGACACTTGATTTATACTAACTTTTCATGAAAACTATACAGGTCCATGAGTTTTGAACAATTAACATTTACACACCTTGTTAATAACTCATATATATCACATATTCCCTTTCACCATAACCCAGAGTTGTCGGTCCTCTTACAGCTGTCGATTGTCATGTCCATGTCTATGCTCAAAGTCATTTTCCTCCTCGAATGAGACAAATTCATGTTAGAAATACATTTTATTTTTAAAATTGAATTTTTTTTAATTTTTTGTTGTTAAATGTGAAATAAATTTTCTGTT